AGACAGTTATTTCCTTAAAAAGCCAAAGTCCCCCAATTCCCAGTGGTCATTAAAAAATGCACATCTCTACTTCTAGAAACTCAGATATCAGGCAAAAAAGGATGTGCCTGTTCAGCCCTGATCCTGCTTTTTGGTGCTGTCAGCCAATTAGTGAGCTCTCCTAGCAATAACTGATGAAGGCGCCATGCTTGAAATGCTCAGAAGACCAGGCTAACACTGGGCCATTAAAAAGCGTTTGGAAATGGGAGAGAGCAGCAGTACGCTCTTCCAATCACAAGAGATAGGAGTAAAAGCAAGAGTTTGCATGATTTCTACACCAGGTCTTCTTTTTCAAAACTGACCTTTTTTCTAAGTTTCCAAATTCCAATCTCTTTCAAGTTATTCTACTAATGAAAGCAAAATCCATCATTGTTTCAGGAGTGCTACTAAATCAGGATGGTGGCTAAAAGACTGTGCACGATGCCACAATTTCTGTCCATAGAGGGGGGGTGGATGACAGCCCTGTGGAGCAGTCCAATTATTATCCCAACCCCTGATGTGAGGATCATTGTGTTGATTTAATTAAAAATTATTTATATGCAGCTTATTTAAAAAGTCTCAGCTTGGGTTGGGATAAGGTTTTCTTTGGAGGAATGCAATGTCTATCAGTGTTGGTACATCTATGCACAGAAGCCAAATGTGCGTCATATGAGGCTACACAGATATGATGGCTGATCTTTAAAGTTTCCTAATTTAAAATCACAGGGTATAACAATTTAAGTATTACATAATTAAACATACATCATGATCAGGCAAAAGCTTCTTTGATTCATCAGGCCATTGACAGCTAATACTTTAGGATTTAGAGCATCAAGTCAGAGTCCTGCAGTAACAATGCACATTTTAAAAGGATCTGAGTGCAGAGATTTTTTTTTCTTTTTCTTTTGCCCACCTCCATCCGGTTGAGCAATGAATGTATCCTGTTACCTCATTCAAAAGCCTGTGATTATCATAGAGCTTCCCAGCAAGGTGTACCAATATTTTCAACTTCTGTGGAACAGCATCTCCACAGTTTAGTTAGAGCTAAACCTCATGGGGGCTGCTGGTAGGTGGGAGGAGTTGAAGCAATAGGACTGGGGACTACAGAAATTCAGATGGCCACTACATGGCAGCAGAGAGATACAGAACATGCTAAATACAGCCCAGATCTGCAAGCTCCAGTTTTTTGAGTTTCCCCAACTGAATCATAAACTGACCACATTGACTGGATTCCCACTGCTTAGCTGACCACACAGGAGCCTAGTACCCCGTGCAAATGGTGCCCTGTGCAAATTGTACAGCCCGGTGTCTTATCTGGTACAAATCCTCAATAAAGGGTAAGTGCATTCCTGTTCCGTCTTTGCTGGCCTCAAGGTGCTGCTTATAGGCACAAAATGTCACCAAGCCAGATTTTGCCATCAATGGTTCCTCATTATTGATTTCTTCCTATTTTCCAAATAACAGGGGGAATTATCTACTTACAGGAAAAGTCAATAGTCACTGTATACCAGAATGAACTGTTTGTTGATTTAGCTACTCATTATTTAAGAGTCATTACTTAAGATAAGAATCATGCCAGTAATTGATGGATTTCTTTGGTTTCTTTCCGTGACCCAGAACATCACCAGCTAGTGGAAAAAACAGCTTTATCATGTGGTGGGACAGGGTTGGGCTAGTGTAGGCCCAGAGTGGAGGGTTAAGCCATCTGTATGACAGATTGCTTTCACAGAGATGGTCCATAGCAGCTGCGGCCTTATCTGGGACAAGAGAACTTGCTACAGTGACTCATGCCCTCATCATTCATATAGATATATAATAAATTCCCCTCTCACCCCTATGGGTGGTATGTGTCTTCCTCAATCTTGGGTCCTCTACCAGAGGCCTGGGGGTTGGAGGGCTGTGCACAGTGCAGTAGCTGTTCT